AAAGTAGCTAATACTATAATTAGTTATTTTTATAATTAGATATATAGGCAGTTAGCTAAAGATATAAGCTTATAATTAATATAAGTAAAAAATATATAACTATATATAYTTAAAAAAATTAAAAATTATARRAAGATTATATATAGATAAAAAAAATAATTATTAAATATATACTAATATCTATATTAGGATATAGAGAAAAGTATAAAAAAATATAATCTATATAAATATACTTATTTACTATATATTTAATTATTCTTTATAGCTTTTTAATATAAGTCACTTAAATATAATAGTGAGAGTTAGTAAGATATTTATACTTATATAAATATTAGGCTATATAGAGGATCTCTTCTATTTTAGTTATATTAAGACTTTTATCTCTAATTAATTATTATTATCCTATTTATTTAGCCTACTATATTAATGTCTAACCCTGAACCTTTGTGTGGTTTAGTAAAGCCTAGCGTACCTTGACACAATGCTGTTTAACTAAGGTGGATCCAGGTCCATGACAGAGACCGAACATAGAATTATAGTAGATCCCATATATAAGGCATCTTTTTTTCTTATCAATTACGCGAGCATGACGCACTTTCGTATATCTTTTGATATTATTATATTAGGCCACCATCAGATTAAAAGGTGCTTGTTGCCCGGTAGTAAATTAAATAGAGAGAGGTTAAGAGAGTAGTTTAGGTAGGTAATTAAGCTGTGATTCTTCTGAATTCATCTTATCCATACTTCTGTCTTCTGTAATATTGAATATATACTCATTAAATCTTGAATTACAGTAGAAGTCGTCTATATTATTAAATAAAGCGCCTAGAGCTTTGGCCTCTTTCTAGGTTTAAGATGCCTTAGAGATTAGATCTTACTTAAAATCATAAGGTTCTTTAATACCTTGTTTGATATTAAGAGTAGAAAGAAGAACAGTATTATTATTTAAAATTATAGGCTTGCAGTTCTATAGTGTAATTTCTTATCTATAATTATTTATAATGTAGTATCTAACAAGACTTTATATAATAGCTTTAAAGATTCCTATGGATCTATTAGTATAAGCTTCCTTGGTAATAGAGATATTAGATAATAAATATATCTTAAGATAGAGTTCTATATAGTTAGCTATAGTATATATATATAAGTAATTTGATATACTATATCTAGTTACTGCTACTATAGTTTTCTATATGTAGCTTATAATACTACCTGAGGGTACTAGATATAATATAATCTATCTTATGCTTTAGGTATAGAAGGAATCTTATTATTTATAATAGTGTGAGTGATTATAGTATATAAAAATTCTGGTATATATTGCCTGAGCTATTCTAAGTCTGAATACTCAGCAAACTCCTTGTAGTACTGAATCCTATAGTCGTGTGATTCTTCACCCAAGAGCCACAGGGACAGCCTTGCCGCGAAGAGCGTCCCTGGCCTCCTGTAGGTTGAATGCCAACGACCTCAAGCGGTCTTTGATGTTGGTGTCTGCCATGTTGGAATGTTGGGCAGTAGAATGCCAATCTTGGGAATCCGAAGAGAAGTCAAAGTAAGCCGGAAAGAGCAAGATATAGGTAATTGTTACGAAACCAACTTGCATGGTACTAGGCAGAATCTAGTACTATTAAGGGAAGGTGTTTATTAAAGCAGCTAATACTATGACTAGTTATTTTTATAACTAGATATATAGACAGTTAGTTAAAAATATAGACTTATAATTAATATAAATAAAAATATATAATTATATATATCTAAAATAATATTTAAAAGTATAAAAAGAGTATATAGTAAAAAAAAAAATAATTATTAAATATATACTTAAAAATAATTATTAAATATATACTTATGTATATATTAAAAAATATAAAAAAAA